TGGAAACAGGAAGTCAGTTTCTGCACACACACACACACACACACACACACACACACACACACACCCTCCTCCCCCATCTCTGGCCCTGGCAGGCGTCGGGAGAATGGGGACAGAAGCTCATCTCACGTCCTTCGCGGCTGGGACCTGGGATTACTCCAAAGCCCTGTTTCCTTTCCTCTAAACCAATCCCTTTACTTACTTCCTTGGGGTCTGGAAGAAAGTACCCTCATCCTCCCCCACACAATAGGTACAGGAAGGTGGACAGGCTGTGGGGGAGAGGAAGAAGAACGCTCAGAACCTTGGGGGACCCCCCCCCATACACTCACACCTATGTCTCTAAACAGAGTGAATTTGGGTGACATTGATAGAGTGAGGGCATTAGAGACCATAAGTCACTTTTGGCCTTATCCGGCAGCATAATTGGCTATATACACCTTATCAAAAATCATTAGGTGCTTTGCAAGCATGCCACATTAGGGGCGCCAGGGCCTCCGGGGCCGGGGAGTTTACACGTGTAAAGGCTCGGCTGACATTTTCTTCTATTCAAATTCCCAAGTGCCCGGCCACTGGGGCAGGCGGCTGCCTTTCTCCTCAGCTGAGCTTATCACGCCCCCTTAGTGCCTGGAATTCAGACTCACAAAGCCAGTCAGGGTGCCCGGTGGAAGCAAGCAGAAAGAGCAGCTATCCAAAACACCACAGGTTTCTAGGCTGCCCCTTAGCATTTCCCACCTGGGGAAACTGAGGCCCACAGAGGCACTGGGTCCTGGCTTGCCTGGGGTGGTTGTGGTGGGGCATGTGGACTTGGGAAGGGAGGCGATACCTCACAGAACAGACCTGCTGATTCTCAGCCTCCATTTCTTCAGTGCCTTTCCAACTAGGGAGAAAATGGATCAGGGATGGGGGGTGGGGGACAAGGGGAAGGTTCTCTGTCCCTCCTCTCTGGAAGAGCCCTCCCTGGCTGGGGCCTTTTGGAACTGGGAAGTTTCTGTTTGTCCTCAGATTACCCTCTGGGCTCAGGGTTACTGTTGGGAACGTGAAGCCCCCAGCTGCTCACAACTCCTGGAGCACCTTTGGGATCTAGGGACGTGGGTCCTGAACCTTCTGTCCCGGGGACTCAGTTGTGGGGAAAGGGGCCGGGAGCAAGTTGCTGGGCTTCCTGGTTCAGCCATCTGGCTGCTCTCTACCGTCTGGCAGACCCCAAGGTGAGGCCGCCAAGCCATGTCCTCCTTCCTCGCCTTAGCTTCTCACGAGGAGGAGCCGACGACAGGGCTTGAGGAGGGCAGAGGCCTCTCTGCCTCCCCTCTAAGCTGGGATGGGTCTCCTGGCCCCCCAATTCCCGAGGTGCCCGGGTGGAAATCCGGCCAGCCAGGGGTAGGCAGCAGGGCGCGGCGGGGCCTCTTACCTGAAGAAGTCGTTTTTACAGTACAGCTTGCCCTCCCGGGAGAAGCACTTCTCTGAGAGGTTGGTTTTGCACTCGCAGCATTGAACACATTTGATATGCCACGCGCGGTCCAGCACGTTCAGCAGAAAGCGGTCGAGGATGGGCCGCTCACAGCCGGCACAGTGCACCATCATAGCCGCGCGCCCCGGGGCGGCTCGGGCCGCCTCGTCCTCCTTGGGGCCCCTGGGCCCTGAGGGCCTCCCGGTCCCCGCTGCAGTGGCTTTCAGCCTCCCTGCTCCCTGGGCCTCGGCAGGGACAAGTCCCGTAGGGATCAACCAAGATTTCGCGGGGTCAAGTCCTCCGACGCTCCTCGGCCTGGCGCTGCGCTGCCCAGAGTGGCGCGGAGGGCGGCGGCGGTCACAGCCTCATGCCACGGGTCGCGCCCGGGCGCTCGCTCCAGCCTCGAGCAGGTGTCCTCGGCGGCTGCTGGCTTCGGCACTGGCGAGCGGCTTTCCCGGTTGACGGAGGCGCCGGCACTTTCCCCCACTTTCAAGCGGTCCCGATCCTCATCTTTGTCTGGCCGCCGCCTAATTCGCGCATCCTTATTCAGATTTGGTGACGTGGTGCGGCACGTAGGGTGCCGGGCGGCCAATGGGCGCGCCGTGGCCATAGCAACCTCTTAAATTTATAGCATATCTAAATTGGCTACAGCGTTGCGGTCAGGACAGAGCAAAAAAAACAAGACATCAGTATTGCCGAGTATTTGCTAGTACCTGGTTCCGAGGCTAAGTAAGTATTTACCTTCCAGTTTGGGCCTGGAGGGGTGGGGGCGCGATCCGAAAACCGGGGTTCTGTTTCTCTCTCTTTCGCAAATATTTTTTGGGGGCAGGGTTCCAAGGCCTAGTCAGGGAGGGACCTCCCACCCAGTTTGGCACCCTCGCAACCTGTAGAAGTTGCCGGGAGAGCGCTGGAGTCCTCTGCTTCCGAACCCGCCCTGCTCCCTCTGACTTAGGACTGCGGCTCGCTCGGGCTCTGAGCCCTGGAGTTGAGACCCTGAGATCGGTCTCCAGGGCTGTGGTTTCTTTTGTCATACGCGGGGCTGGGGCCCAGGCGGGCTTTTCTCACCGAAAGAGAGTGAAGGCGGGAAGCTTGGGTAGTTATATGCCCCCATCTCCCACCCCCAGCAAGGTTGGAGCAGGGATATATATCAACTGGCCTGGTCGGGGAATCCCGAACGTCAGGTCTAAGTGTCCAGCTCACCGGCTCTGGGGGAGGTGTGGAGAGAGGGGAAATCTACCTCGGATGGGTGTTCAGGCTGGTAGATAGGAGGTGGCACTCACTACGTCTTTCTCTGCCACACTGTCCATATTCCAGGTCAGCCTGGCGAGACCCGTGGTGAGTAGGCCACTCTGCAGAGCAAGGGAGTCCGGCCACTGCCGGGCGCCATCCCACCGTGACTCCCGAGCCCGAGGGCTTTTAAGTTCCCCGCTGCTCCTAGGGCCAAAGGCAGCTTCGCAGGTGTGAGAGTGCCCGCAGATGTACGCAGAGGGGCCCGGAGGGGTATAAAGGGACCTGGGGTAGGGAGAGAAAAGGGACCAGGCCTTGTTTCTGCTTGGCCAGCCAGGCCACCGCATGCTTCGGGGGCGAGGTAGGATGGGAATGTGTTTCTGGATATCTGCTTGCTCCTGGGAAGACCCCTGATGGTGAGGGGCTGGGGCCCAAGGGTTGGAGCCAGATAGGATTTGTGCCAAGACTTGGCTGTGAATGTTTGTTTGGGTGTATTTATTTACTGAGTTTGTTAGTTATATATGCGCTGCTTGAAAACTATCATTTTATTCTATCTATAGTGTGTTCGTGATCAAGCCCTGGGACTTGGAGGGGTTTTGATATTTTTTTGGGGGGGATTTTTTTTTGCGTGTAAATTTTCGTGTTTATAATTTCTCGTGGGTCCTGCTTGCGTTGTGTGTTAATATGTGCATTAAAATTATTTGTCGGCCTGCGTCTGCATGTGTCTGCTTACGTGAGTCCCCTGGATGCCAGAGGATGTGCTCCTCTGTGAAAGGGCGAGCATGTATGATCACTCCTATTGCACATGCTAGCCCTGACAGGAAGATGTACTTTAACGTCCGAGTGTATGTCTGTCTAAATGCGTGTGTTCCTGCTAGAGACCCTGTGTGTGTGTGACTGAGCTCGGCTGTGTGATCTTGGGCACAGAATTTTGTAGACCCGTGTGTGTGTGTGTGTGTGTGTGTGTGTGTGTGTGTGTGTGTGTGTGTGTGTGTTTTGGACAGTGGGTTTTTATTTACAGGACTCTTGTAGGACTAGAGGGAATGTGTTTGTATGGGTACCACTAGCCGCGATTATCTTCATGGATGGGGGGAAAAGATTTGGAGAGACCCATCAGCTGGGCCTTTGGAAAAGGGTACCCCCAACTCAGGTAGCTTCTGTCACTAGTTTGCCAGGGGGACCGGGACCTGCAGGGAGACTGGGACCAAGCAGGCTGGATTGAACTTGGGCCTCTTAGGCCTATGGAGAGAGGTTCTAGAAGCCTCCAAAGGAAGCTGTGTGGCAGCACCCAGCCTTCCCGGGCTACGAATGAGCCTCGAGCTCGGACAGGACACAGAGGAAATATAGAAGAGCCCAGAGAAGGGGAGTTGCACAGGCTCCGGGCTGAGGCAAGCCCACTACCCTCTCTGCCTTTGTCTTTTGGAGGTTTCCCCCACCTCCCTGAATTCTCCTGGAGTGCTCCTGCCTTTAGCTCAGTGGCTCCACGCTTCCCGTCTTCCTGGTCCTCCTCCCTCCCCTCTTTCTTTCTCTATCCCCCCCCATTTTCTTTTCTTCCTCTGCCTTTTTGCCCCAGTTTGGAGTCTGGCATCCATCAAAACACTTCAAAGGCCGCTTCCCATTATGCATGGCTGCTGAGATGTGTGGAGAAAACTCCCACCCTGATACCAACAGTCACTCACCCTTCCTTCTCAGCACACCATCCCCCCCCCCCCCCGCCCCCAGTTGTGGCCACACACTCCCTCAAGTCACCACAAGGAATCTAAGGTGTCAGACCCCTCCTCTCTCCCGAGTCAGGGTTCTGTCCAGCCAGCCCTGTCTGGTTCTCCACTCTTGGATGAACCCATTACTTCACTTCTCCTGGAATGTTCCTGAATGTCAATGTGCAGCCCTACTCCAGCCACTGAATGCCGGGGCCAGGAAGGAGACTGTAGTAGAAAGCGACAATCCCAGGGGGTCCTCAAGCCTGGCTGTGGGTGGGGGCCACCTAGGGCTGAGCCATTGGTTGTGGCCTGTGAGGGGTTGGTTGGAAGGGCTCAAAGGACTTGCCTAGTTACTGCCCTTCGGAGTCACCTGGGTGCCTCACTGGATTCATATGGTTCAGCCCCACTTACAGGAACTCATACCCCCCCCCCATGCCAGCCTGGCAGCTACGATAGTTTTCTCTACTCCACGATAGCACCGGGGAAAATAGCAGACCAGCTATTTTATATATTATCCCGCCCTAACAGCACTGACAGATGGCCACCCGGCAGTGAAATTCCCTCCTATATGTAACTAATAAACGCTTGTGTCTTAACAGGGTGATGCGCCAAGACTCAATGTCACTTATACAAGATGTTGATGGAATTTACTATATAAAAATCTCCCTTCTAGAGTAAAGAGTATCAACATTACTGCTCAACAGACGGTGCGGGGATAAATGAAACAGACAAAAGACAAACACGATAATAATCTGTTTCCAATCACTTAAGCCCTGTAGAGTTAGTAAAATGTTCCTTGCATATTCCCCCTTGAGTTCGGTAATTAATTACTGGCGAAGAGACGCACACCTCCCGGCTGGAGTGGGAGTTTCAAGACCCGGAGAGCTTGGGCGTGGGGGTGTCTTTCTCCCGGTTTCCAGCTGGGGACACTGGACAGCGGTGGAGGAAGGAGGTGCCTCTTGCGCCGCGGGCTGAGCAGGACATTTCCGTTGGGTCGCCGCCGGGCGCACCTCTGCTCCGCTCGGCTCCCCATGCCTCGGAAATTCTTCAACCAAGCAAGAAAGAGGCCGGCCATCTCTGAGTCCTTCGAAGTCTTCTTAACTCGCTACCCGCCTTAGAATGGCCCGAGCAGCCGGGGTTGTTTTTGTTTGTTTTGTACTTATTTATTTATGCGTTTATTTATTTATTTTTATTTATGAAGGGGCAGGCTGGAGGCCCGGCGCTGGCCGGGGGGTGGGGGATTGAGGGGGCGGGGATCCAGGAGGTTTGCCCCTTGTCCTCCCGCCTTTCCCCCCGCCCCCAAGCATCTCAGGTGTCGAAGCAGCCAGTTCCCTTCCGATCTCGATCATTACCCCCCCCTACCCCATCACGCATCCTTATCCAACCCCCACCCCCCACCCCACCAAGAGCCAGCGAAGCTTTAACATTAAACAAACGCAGTGAACGCCTGGGAGCTGCGCTCTCGGCCGGGTCTGCGCGGCGGCGGCGGCGGCGGCGGCGGCGTTACAAATTGTAAATTTAAATTGCTCTCCGGATTCATTACTTCCCCTCTTTGATTTCAGCCAGCCGTGAAAAATTATACTGGTGTACCACTGAGAAACTGCTTTGCCGCAAAGAGCCTGCGCCTAATCACTGGCTTTCTCCCTCCGACAAGAGTGTAATTATTTTGTTTTGGGTGTAAATATAGGCGGCCCCGCGCACAGACACTCAGCATCCCGCCGCGCACGGCCCGCCGCCCAGAGGCATCCGCCCGGGGTAGGAACGGGGGTGGAGGCCAGGCCCGAGCGAAGCGTCGGCCTCCGTACTCCCGGCAGACCCGGGTCTCCAGTCTCTGCCTCAAGACTCAACGGACCTTGGGCATCCAAGCCCAGCCAAGTGCACTCCAGCCGGGTGTGCCGTGTGGGTCAGGGCTCAGGGTCAGGCCCAGAAGAATACAGTGGGATTGGGAGTGGATGAGAATTCTCGCCCCCCCTCCCCCCCGCAGGACCCACAGACCTGAATGGAGTCCCCAGTCCAGATCCAAGTAGGGACGGTGTGTCCTGGCCTCAGGAGGGACACGGGGGGGGGGGGGGGGGACAAAACCGGGTAGGCGGATGAGTCCTGCTCGCGCGACACTGTGGACCACTGGGTTTCCAGAGCATCTTTGCGGGGGGTCCGGGCCCTCCTGTAACGTGAACACTCGTGAATTAAGCGGCTTTGAAACTGGGCGGGGGCGGGGGCCCGACCTGGGATGTTTACAAACCCGGCTGGGATTTATTTCATCCTCACCTCCTCTTTCATTCTTCTGGCTTTCCTCTCCTCCTTTCCGGGAGGTGAGCTATCCGAGGCGGCTCGGGAGATGTGCCAGTAAGACCATTTCCCAAGGCGTAGTGGAGTGCTAGGTCTGAAAGACATCGGGTCAGCTAGCTGAGCCCCACGGCGCTTTAAAGGGCTGCTGCTCAGGAGGGAGCTAGCTGCAGGGTGTCAGTTGGGGTGTTGGGCTCTGCTTTGGAAATGCCGGGCCCCATAGATCCCAAGCAGGCAGGGCAGGGAGTGAGCCCCCCCCACTCCTTACCTCCCCCATGAAGCCCCACCCTTGGGCTGTTGGGACCCCCACCAGCAGGCTACCTACAGCTCACCCTTGGCCTGTAAAGACACTTTCCTAGGGCAGAATTCAGGCTCTGGCTTCCCCGGAGCCTAGGTTGGTCCTTTTCAGCAAGAAGGGGCCTTGGAAGAGGTCAGATGAAGCCCCCGCCACTTGTGAGCGAAACTGACATTTATTTTTTTTCCCCCCCCGCTTAGAGGGAGACAAATCTCACGCTTAGTGTCGTGGCTGGATTCCATGCTGCCGGTTTCCCTGGACCCGGCTGGGTTGAGAGCAGGACTTGGCTGAGATGCCGCTCGGTGGGGCCCAACCCCAAGTAGTTTGGGACTCCTCTGGCCCCACAGCCAGCAGAATCCACCCAATGGGCTCCCCCCCCCCCCCGGAAGTGGCTTCTCTAAAGTTCAGAGAGGGCAGTTTGCCTTGGATGTCCCTTCAAATGAAGAGTCCCCAGCCCACCTACTATGACTTTGAGTTTTGTCTTTCGACCTAGCTTGGTCTTTCTGTTTGTTTTGTTTCTCTCTCTCTCTCTCTCTCTCTCTCTCTCTCTCTCTCTCTCTCTCTCTCTCTCTCTCTCTCTCTCTCTCCTCCCCCTCCCCTTCTCTCCCCCTCCTCTCCCCACCCCTCCACTCCCCCACCTTCTTTTTGTTAGACTAATTTGGGTTGCTTTAGAATTGGCCCGACTTTGGCAGCTCGTGGTGTGAGTGTGTGTGTGTGTGTGTGTGTGTGTGTGTGTGTGTGTGTGTGGTGTGTGCGTGCTTGCGCGCGCACGCGTGTGTGTGTGTGTGTGTGTGTGTGTGTGTATTTCTCAGTCGCTAATGATTGTGTGTTGATAGAGTAATGCAGTGGCCTCATTAGCCCTTGTTTAGAAGGTGTTAAAAGGGAGATCCGCCTCGGAAAGCCGCGGTTTACACAGCGGCGCGGCTGAACCCCCCGAGCCGAGCCGCACGGCGGGCTAGGGGGAGGCGGACCCGCTCCCACCCCCTAGGGAGGGGAGAGGGGGCGGGGAAGCGACCCCAGCTCCGGCCTCCCAAGGCGGGTATGTTTACCCCGCTGAGCGCCCTCGGCTCGGTGGGGACCCCAGCGGGGGTCGGCTCTGGTTCCAAAACTCCTGGGAGCTGCTCAGCGGGGCTCCGCGGCCTTTCCCAGGGTAGGATGGGGCAGGGGTGGGGGCAGAGAAAAAAAATGCAAGGATTTTTTTTTTTTTTGGAGGGTTGGGTGTGAGGTATTTTATTTAGAGACAACTACAGCCTAGTAGGTAGCGGCTCGGGGTCTCTGGGCTGGCGTGTTCTCGGCAATCTCCATGCCCCACCCCCATCCCCACCAAAATAGATACCCTAAACTTTAGGGGGTCGCCAGAGAATCCCCCTTCCCCCAACAACTTGTTCTCAGATGGCCTTTTGGGACCTTCGTTTTGAAAGTTTCTTTCCCAATCTATCTCTGCCCTAAGGCTCCACCTGGGAAGGAATTTGGGAGAATAAAACTGTAGCTGGCCGGCCTACTTCTGCAAAGCTTGGCAGGTGCGAGTAACTTTGTTGACCTGGGGCTAGAAGGGTGCGTGTGCTCGGTTGTGTTGGCGCCCGAGGGCGGAGGTTCTACTCTGTCGGCGTTCCTCATCCCTCCCTCGGTCCCGAAAGTCTTGGTTTGTGACTGAGCTGACTTGAGAAGAAATCCCATTTTATCCTGGGTCATACGAAAAGACCTGAGGGGGGAAAATATTTTGATCAGGCTCAGTGGGTGCCCTTGTTGAACTCGGAACTAGACCCCTTTTCTGATGCAAGGGAGAAAGACCGGGTTGGCATTCACCGTGAGACTCTTCAATCGAATTGTTCTTTTTTCACGAAGGTGGTTGCATGCGTGTGGGGGAGCCTTTCTCATCTTTCTGGTTTGTTTGCATTTTGGTTTTCCTGTCCCTGGATTTGACATTGCCCATCTTGGGGTGAAATTCAGCTAGTCTGGGCATTCCTAGTCTGGTAAACACCCACCTACCCAACGTCGGAAATCATCATTTCCTTCCCTTTCCTGTATGTGTGTGTCTCATGTGTATTTCTGTTTTATTTTGTTTTTTTCCTTTTAGAAGTCTAAGCGTTGTCTAGAGACGGGTCGTGGGAGGCTGGGACTCTCATACAGCGGCTCTCATGAAATCCGACTGTAGAACGGGTTTCAGACCCAACTGAACCCTCAATGCTCTCCCTAATTCGTCTTGTAGTTAGAAGCGAGATTGCGCGGGAAACCAAGTTAAAACCGGTTCCCCAGATGCTGTGGGATGGGACCAGGATCAAATACGGAGGACGCGGGAAGACTGGAAAGCCCATAGCTCGCTGCCCCCCTCCTCCCCCTCCCTTTCTCCTTCTCTTTCTCTCTTTGTCTCCCTAGCAGGTCTGTCGGTGGAGGCAGGGGTGTGCCAGCGGTAGCAGCCAGGCTCTGTACCGGCGTGGTAGTTGGGAACCAGACAAAGACAGGAGCTGTCCGCGGTGCTGAAGCCGCGCGGAGAAGGCTCCTGTAAGCGCCCTGCCCTCTCAGAGCCTTCTAATCCCATTTTGGCTCTGGATTTTGCTCCCCTCCTGCGTTTATTTCACTTTTTGGGGGCTTCTCCTCAGAATCGATATCTTTAACCTAGGTCTATCTATCTATCTATCTATCTATCTATCTATCTATCTATCTATCTATCTATCTATCTATCTAATCATCCATCCATCTTATAAAACAAAACAGCTGATTAAAAGCAATTTCTTCTTCCCACCTCAAATTCAGGACACAAGAAAGGTTTCTTTTAATTACACCCACAATAGTTCCAAGTAGCTGTTTCCATCCCTCCAAAGAAGCGGAAGTGTATATTTAAAACAATAACACCCAAACACAACGAATACCAGGAATCTGCCCTCAAGTTTATTCTGAGGAGGAAGCAAAGGGTTTACTTTCAAAATGTTAATTTTGGGAAGACTTTATCTTTTTTTAAAATTAATTTTATTCTTATTTTATGTACATTGGTGTTTTGTCTACATGTATGGCTGTGAGAGGGTGCAGATCCTCTGGAACTGGAATTACAGACAGTTGTGATTTGCCATGTGGGTGCTGGGAATTGAACCCAGGTCCTCTGGAAGAGCAGCCAGAGCTCTTAACCTCTGAGTCATCTCTCTAGCCCCAGGAATACTTTATCTTTGAGGCTAGAAAAATATGAGAGCCAGAGAGACGTCATGTGACGGTGTGCAGACCCAGGCACCTGCCCTGTGAAGGAGTAGGGCTTGTGAGGGCAGAAGACATGTGGGGTGAGGGTGGGGGGCAGTAAGTCAACTTAGCCCTTGCAGGCATGCAGAGGCCTACTGTGGAAACCCTCTTCAGGGTTTATTGATTTAGTTATTTTTCTTTTTTATGTTCATTGGTATTTTGACTGCATGTATGTCTGTGTGAGGGTGTTCGAAGCCCTGGAAATGGAGTTACAGACAGGTGTGAGCTGTCATGTGGGTGCTGGGAATTGAACCTGGGTCCTCTGGAAGAGCAGCCAGTGCCCTTACCACTGAGCCATCTCTCCAGCCTCCCTCTTCAGAGTTATTAAGGAGACCAGCCTTATGGAAAATTTGGGCACAAAAGAATTAACCAGTGCTTCATTTTCTAAATGCTCTAGGTGTCACTTAGGTATCTGGCATGGCACATGACTAGCAGCCAGTCCTCTGTATGAGGTTAACATGTCTGAGTGAGTTTGTGTAGGGGAGGCGAACCACTCCCCCCCAACATAATGTGTCCTGGGGACTGAGCACCTTTGTCAGTACATAGGGTCTGAATACTTGCCCTCTGCTGTCTCAGAGACACACCGCCCCCTCAGAACCCCCAAACCTCTCTGTTGCAGGGTGACTGTCAAGTTTATGGGTTCATCTCATAGGAAGTGGGGGGTTCAGAAGAACCAGAACTATCAAAGTAGAGCAGTTTGCAATAAAGGATGCACTGAGAAAAAAACAAACAAACAAACAAACAAACAAACAAACAAACAAAAAAAGGATGCACTGAGGCTTGGGACAAATGGCACTCCAATTCTTCAGGACCTTGGCTGTTATCTTCTGAACTCCAACCTCTGTAGGTGTTTCATTGAGACCAGTGTGACCAGGCTTTTGGACTATATACCTTCAACCTCACAGAACACACAACCTTGTGGTGTCAGGACAGGTACCCTTGACCCTGGCTGGCAAAAACTAAGAATAAAAACAAGGATATAGTTATTGAGTGTGTCCGTGTGTGTCCATGTGTGTGTGTATGTGTGTGTGTCCATGTGTCCGCATGTGTGTCCGCATGTGTGTGTGTGTGTGTGTGTGTGTGTGTGTGTGTGATTTCCTGGTCTTGGCTGCAGCTTGAAGAGCTGTGGATGTTGATCATATCCCCATGTTACACAAAAGAAAACCAAGTCTCAGAGATGCTGACAGGTGCTGTTGGTACACAACCAAGGTCTGTGATTGTAACCTTGTCCCTGAACGTGCTCTGAGGAACTGTGTTTTCCTGGGGACCTCACCTAGTGATTGTGATGCTATTTCTTCATTAGCATGATCCTTTTGGCCTCCTGGACCACGGTGGCCTGTGGTCTGGACTTCCAAAGTTGGTGTAGCCAAGTACTAACTTTGAAACAAGAAGCATGCCCCCTACATCCCTCTGTCAGAGTTGGGAGGGTTCTTCACAGGTTGGGAACCAAGTTAGTATGAATTGTCTCTCTGACTTGGAGTCGTCTTTAATCTTTCTCTCTCTCCTGCCTTGACTCATCAGCAAGTGGGGCTCACTGTGCCCCCAAACCATCTCCCAATCAGCTCCTTCCCTCTCTCTGTTGTCAGGCTGGTTCCAGCCACCTCTGCCTAACCTATTTTGTGGTTGTAGTCTTCTAACCAGACTCCAGATTCTCCTCACTCTCCTCCCTTCCTCTCTCTACTCTCAGGATGACTGAGGTTGTATTTTAGAACCATACATTAAGGCTTGCCATTCTGCCTCTGACCCTCCAACAACTCCTCAGTGCGTGTAGAATAAAATCCATACTTCTCGCCCTGCTGTGCAGGGCCTTTTGTAAGGGCTCCTGGCTCTCACTCCTAACATGCCCCCCCCTTCCTGTGTCTGCACCAGCCCCATCGGCTCCCCTGCGGTGTCTCACACAGCCTGGTTTTCTCACCTCAGGACCCTCCGCACTTGGCTGGCCCTTCTGCCTTCAAATCCTTGCAGGGTTGGCCCTGCCTTTGCCACTCAGCTCAACTGTCAATTCTTCCAGCCTGTCTTCCCTGATCAGTTGATTAGAACTGATCCACCCCCAGTCACTCTCCACCCTGCCTTATTCTCTTTGTTGCCTTTATCAATATACGTAATTATCCCCCTGTTGGACTTAGCTGCATATTGTCTCTCTTCCTTACAATATCAGTTCCACGAAGCCGGGGAGACTGGGTTTGTCTCGTTCACTGTTGAATTTCCCATGCTTGACGCCATACCTGGAACACAGCTGTTCGATACATATTTGTTGACTGGGTA